CAGCCCCCCACCAGCCGCTTGCCTGCTTTTGCACGTCAGCATCGCTGAGGGCCATGGCGAAGAAGGCGCTAGGCCGCTGAGTAAACCGCTCGAGCCGACGTTCGAAGGAGGCAGCAGGAGAGTCAGAAGAAAAGCCGGCGTAGCGTCGCCTTCTTTTACTGTACAACCCGGCTTCCGGTTCCTGCCAGGTGACCAAGGGGCTCTTCCGCCTGAGCCTCCTCGGCCAATGGCGAGAGAGCAGGGGCCGGGAAGCTCCACCCCAGACCCCAGTGGCGCAGGCGTGGAGACCCCGCCCCGCCCTCGCCGGCTCGTGACCGGCCTCCTGTGCCGGGGCGGGCGAGGGGCTTTTGGTCTGTTAGGGGACGGGTCGTTTGTAGCCTCGGGACACTTGAGGGTTTTTTTTGAGTTCATAACAAGACTAAAATGTATTATAATTGTGCATTTTTTAACTTTAATGGAAGCAAACCCATCAACAACATCTAACTTATTAATACGTTAAAGTTGTTAGACTAGATTTAAGAGAATTGAGCAAATAGGGCAGAGCCTAACAAAAGCCCTCTCCCCCTCGCGCGCAGTTTCCTTATTATTGGTCATGGTACGTGTGTAAATCAGTATTGCCGTGTTTACAAAAGTCCATAGTTTATTCAAGTATCCTCGATTTTAAGAAAAATTTGTTCCGCGCTTCCGTCCGGGATCCCTAGTCCGATCTCGCCCTGTCTCCGTGGGCTCCTCCGCCGAGGCTGACCTTGACGGTGAGGAGGAGGAGTGGCTGGAGGACGCGCCTTTGGCATTTCTCAGGCGACTAGACAAGGGTTTGGGGAGGAAGCTCATAGAGTGTTATTTCCATCTTGTCACGGGTACCTGGGGTGACGTGAGTTTTGACGGTTGCTGTCAGACGTCCCGTCCTCCTCTGTACGGAGCAGTGCTGCCAGGTTGCTCCACCATCTCGTCGTTACCCTCCTGTCCCCCCTTTCTCCACGGTGCAATGCTGAAAGTCCTGTGGAGGCCACACTAAGGCAGTGAGAAGCTAAGTTACCATTGCGGTAGGGTGGAGTGTCTGCAAAGCGTTTGGAATTCTCCTGAAGGAACCTATGCATTTTTTTAAACATAATTTCCGGGACTCTCTTTAAGGGCACTTAGGGTAGGAATTCTCTCAGCCTTGTTTTCTCTCTGGGTTCACATCAAGCCCCAATTTTTTTTCTTCCACGAAAGGGCAAAAAGTTTTGACAATTTCAAGGGTAGGATCTTGGTAGGATTATGTTAAAGGGTACACACTTTTCTTATTTTTTATTTTGAATAAAATGAGTTGTAAGGCAAGTGCAATGAACTCCCTCCACCTAGATTCACTAATTGTTAATATTTTGCTACATTTGCTTCTTTTCACACATACACACACACGTGCACACACAGTATTCATAACTGTTTCAGCTTGTGTGTCATAAAAAAAATGTGCTCTGATAAGATTAGAAAACTGTACGCTGAGAACTACAGCACTGCTACCTAATATATATCCACATTCAAGTTTTTCTGTATGTCCTGTGATGCCCTTCATGCCACCTGCTGGCCCCAACACATTTCTTTTTCTCATCCAGGATCACTTCGTACACTTTGTTGTCTCCTTTAATATGGAATTTATAAGATTTTCCAGCTATAGGAAATCTCCCAATATGCTTTTGTTTGACAGTTTCCTCATAATGAGGTTCAATTTATGCATAACAGCAGAACAACATGTGTGACACTGTGGCTTCAGAGCTCCACGTCAAAAAGCACATAATGAGGAACCAGCAGTTAGCGTAATGGCTATGTCACTGGACTCCCGCGTAGTTGACCATGGTTCGCATCCCAGACCTGGTGGCTTAGAACTCACGGCGGGCACGTGTGCGTGCGTGCCCAAGATCCCGAGAGGAGAATGGAGGAGAAGGGATTGCGGCGTGATCATCTTCCCTGGGGGGTGATTTCTCGCTTTCTGTCTCTATGTCTCTGTCTGTCTGTCTGGCGAGCGCATGCGCCCTATAGCAAAAACCACTCCAAAAAATAAAATAAATAAAAAAGCACATAATGGTAGTTCATCCTTTTAATGAGAACAGTACATACTTTTTTTAAAAGAATTATTTTATTGGGACCAGCAGTTAGCGTAATGGCTATGTCGCTGAACTCCCATGTAGCCAACCGTGGTTGGAGTTCCGGACCCGGTGGTTTAAACTCATGCTGGGCACGTGTACGTGCATGCCCAAAATCCTGAGAGAAGAATGGAGGAGAAGGGACTGCAGTGTGGCCATCCCCCCTGGGGGGGTGATTTCTCGCTTTCTATCTCTCTGTCTCTCTCTGTCTTTCTGGCGAGTGCACGTGCACTTGTCTTAAAATGCAAGATTTTGTTACATAGCCTTTTGCCATGCAATTACATTGTAAACATTTTTAATTTCAGAAGTGAGAATTACTTGTGCTGTTGAGCTTTGAGGGTTGGAATGTTTAAGTGCAACATCAGCTCCTTAAAAACAAGTGATCTATGGTGTTTGTCTCCCATACAAGAGGGAATTTAGAATGACAAGTAACATGAAAATCATGTATAGGCTTCTGCAGGAGAGTATTCAGCATTCTTAATCTGACGACTATTTATTCACTGTCCTACTGTATAGTTTAAAAAGAGTTCTGGTATTGGGACCAGCAGTTAGCGTAATGGCTATGTCGCTGGACTCCCACGTAGTCAACCATGGTTCACATCCCGTACCCAGTGGCTTAAGCTCACGCCAGGCGCGTGTGCGTGCGTGCCCAAGATCCCGAGAGGATAATGGAGGAGAAGGGATTGCGGTGTGGCCATCCCCCCTGGGGGGTGATTTCTCGCTTTCTGTCTGTTTCTCTCTGTCTGTCTGGCGAGCGCACGTGCCCTATAGCGAAAACCTCTAAAAAAAAAAAAAGAGTCCTGGTATTTTCTCCTTGGCAGTCTCCCCTTCCCACATCATGGAAGTACAGGTTTGCACATACACCTGACATGAAACAAAATGAGATAGAGTAAACTAGCTTTCTAAATATCCACTCTAAGTCTCCTTGCCACCCCAGTAAATAAGTATGCAGGCAGTTAAACTACTTGAAGAGATGCAGACAACAAAAAATCTATTCAAGGGCTTTGAAGATAGTTGAGGGAAAATAAACGCACTGATCAGCGTTACTAGAATCAATAAGGATGCCAGGCTGCCAACAACTAAATTGATGATTGATCCTTTGCTGACTCGACTCTCCCAGAACAGAGGTCTGTCGTCCAGGCCACTGGCTGGTCGTCCTGGAAGTAAAGTCCTCCATTTTGGGGTTTCTTCTACTTTCCATAGGCCACTTAAAAGTGAGCCAGCATTGCCTCCTGAAGCCATTGCAACACCAAGGCCTGGGGCTCAGGGCACACCATGGTGGGACCTGGGCAGGGCAGTCCTGCCAAGTCCCTGTGGTGGCACAGGGTGGGTGCTCCTAGACGGGGCCTCTGCGGAGCCTGCCCAGCCTCAGCTCCAACAGCTTTACGACACTGCAGCAGGGGAATGGGGGTGGGCAGCCCAGGGGTGCACTCAGTCCCCTCTCTTCTATTGAATGTGCAATGTTACTGTGCTCAGATTCGTTTAAATCCTGGAAGCTAACATTCAACATTATTGTTGATATATCCAGACTTCCCCCTGCCATTAAGGTGGCCATTTTCTGTTCTCTTATTTCTGTCCATCTATAGTTTTTCTGGTATAGCACTCTCTCCAGAACTATTTTTTTTTTTTTTTTGAGAGAGATTTTCGCTATAGGGCGTGTGCGCTCGCCAGACAGACAGAGAGAGACATAGAGACAGAAAGCGAGAAATCACCCCCCAGGGGGGATGGTCACGCCGCAATCCCTTCTCCTCCATTCTCCTCTTGGGATCTTGGGCACGCACGCACACGCGCCCGGCGTGAGTTTTAAGCCACCGGGTCCGGGACGCGAACCACGGTCGACTACGCGGGAGTCCAGCGACATAGCCATTACGCTAACTGCTGGTTCCCTCCAGAACTATTTTTTAAAAATATTTAGTTCATTTGATATTATTATTTTTTAATTTGACCGGAGAGAGACAAAGACACAGAGAGAGGGAAAGTGAGAAAGTAAGTCACCATGCCCAGGATTCGAAAGACCACATGGGAATCCAGAGACCCCAACCACCTGCAGGGTCCCCTTCGGAATTTTGTTTTTCTTTTTGGAGAGGTTTTTGCTATAGGGCGTGTGTGCTCCCAAGACAGACAGAGACAGAGAGACAGAAAGCGAGAAATCCCCCCCCAGGGGAGATGGTCACGCCGCAATCCCTTCTCCTCCATTCTCCTCTCGGGATCTTGGGCACGCATGCACACGCGCCTGGCGTGAGTTTTAAGCCACTGGGTCTGGGACGCGAACCGCGGTCGACTATGTGGGAGTCCAGTGACATAGCCATTACGCTAACTGCTGGTCCCCACCTTCGGAATTTCTTAAAGAGCTGGTTTGGTGTTAGTAAATTCTTTTAGGTTTTATTTATCTGAGAATGTTTTTCTTTTTTTTTTTTGAGAGGTTTTTGCTATAGGGCGCGTGTGCTCGCCAGATAGATAGAGAGAGACATAGAGACAGAAAGCGAGAAATCACCCCCCAGGGGGGATGGTCACGCCGCAATCCCTTCTCCTCCATTCTCCTCTCGGGATCTTGGGCACGCATGCACACGCGCCGGGCGTGAGTTTTAAGCCACTGGGTCTGGGACGCGAACCGCGGTCGACTATGTGGGAGTCCAGGGACATAGCCATTACGCTAACTGCTGGTGCCTGAGAATGTTTTTCCTATATAAAAGATAATCTTGCTGGGCATAGTATTCTTGGTTGAAGTTTTTTTTTTTTTTTTTTTTGAGAGGTTTTCGCTATAGGGCGCGTGCGCTTGCCAGAGAGAGAGAGACATAGAGATAGAAAGCGAGAAATCACCCCCCAGGGGGGATGGTCACGCCGCAATCCCTTCTCCTCCATTCTCCTCTCGGGATCTTGGGCACGCACGCACACGCGCCCGGCATGAGTTTTAAGCCACCGGGTCTAGGACGCGAACCGCGGTCAACTACGTGGGAGTCCAGCGACATAGCTATTACGCTAACTGCTGGTCCCAGGAGTTGTTTTTCACTTGACACTTTGAATATATTTTCCCATTGTTTCCTTGCTTGCATTATGTCCAAGGAGGGGTCCGAC